AATTCCGGACCAACATACAGTACAAGGCACACTTTCCCCTTTGTGGAATACACAGACAGATTAGCCATGAGGCTGCGAAAATCATATAAATCGTCCATAATAGAAATAGCACGTAATCTAAACGATTCTTTTAAATCGGGCATCATATGTTTACAATACCCTCAGACCATAGTTGGTTTCAGCTATCAATTAGAGGGCTCTAAGTAAACATCAATATCATTTTTCCAGGTGCATGTTTCCGCCGGTATCAGAGTAATGAAAGTATCATAAAATGGCTGTTTTCCATGACAACAGCAATGCGATGGTAAATTATATGGCATTTACCAACTGGCCAAGATAGACCAACCAGAGCTCATTACCCAAATGGATTGAATCCGCACTTGACAGACCCAGTCTTACATTCTGCAATCTTCGGGCAACATCGAGGATAAATTTTATCAACATGCTTCCAGCTAACCGCATCAGCAGGATGTCTCAATTTACCATCATCTACTCGATCTTTCCTTGTGCCACCTCATATTTTTGCCGTTTCTTTGTTCATGTACAATCTTCGCAATCTAGGAGCCTAATGGAAATGTCCAAGCACCTTCGGCTGCCAGAATTTTTCTTCTGTGGTATCTCTTTGTCTCCGTTGTATTCCTTATTGAAGAACTTTTGTACTTTTTCCACCTAGAAAACTCCACATGTCGGACATTCTTGACGTCTTATATGGCCTTGTGGCTACAAAATACAATCATTCGGAACATGCATCCAATCTTATTTTAATCTAGACCAGAGCACCGAAATCTTCTCAGCTTGATAAGTTGTTTGGGTATGCTATTCACTCCTCCAGGTATTACAGTTCGACAGCAAATCAAAGAAGCCCATTTTGCAAAATAATTATCTGACATCACCGCTAAGTGTCTTATTGAGAGTTTAGCATAAATTTAAATCTGGAGTACTCGGTACAATCCCTACTATAAGTCCTTTTCACTATCTTTCTAGTGCTTCAATATTCGTTCTATTTCTGCGAGGCATGCATATCAATCAAATATTTTCGGCACCTTCATCATCTCCTACTCTTCAGCATTCAACATCGATACTCCATCTTCACTTTTATCTCGATATCATTCCTCTCGACATTAATCATCACCCTCAAATTCTCTAGGTCTCGAAGCGAAAATATCATTCAACATTGTTTCTGTAGTCATCTATTCGTTGTCCACCGATCGTACGACACCACATTTGATCCTCATCTTCAAGTGATACCTTCCCCATGCCAGCTTCCATATTTATAGTTTTTCATCAAAACCTGATTTCATTAGCGTGGATCGTATATCATATACTATCAGCAATTTCAAATCTCCTACACATCAACAAGACAAATACATGCACCACTTGCTAATTTTCTCGATTCATTTTCTGCCATAACGTATGAAGGCTTCACATCCCCTCTTTGTATCGTTGTCACCGAAATCTATGAAGCAGCTGGGCATATCTATCCATGATTTGTCAGCGAATTACCCCTCATCTGTAAATTATATATAATTATTAACTGCGACAATCACACAACTACTAGTACATTCATGACTCTTATACCAACAAAACAAACTACATACGTCCATTATATCATTTAACAATATAAATTTAGTTCTACTAAAATATATTTGAAAGTATCGAAGCAAACTAATACACCTAATGATCGGCTGGGTCATAGGAAGGCTTCTATCCATTTAAGAATATTAGTAGTGCTTAACATTCCACTTCATATCTTTGGTATATTTTCATTTCCTTGAAATTTCGGCAGCCACTACCCGCCGTATCTCCTGCTACACCTGTGCGGATGTTATTATGCGTATCGCAATAGCCAGAAACGCAGAACACATACGCCTTATTGTAACACGGAGAAACAACGCAAATACGTTGCTGCCAAAACTTTCAAGAATGAAATATACAAAGTACTACAAGTTGGATGGTATGCTACTACTATATTCCTAACCGGTCCGAGAAGACAGCATCCAATAAATTACGAATTTCAGTACCATTTTTATTCCTATAATTAAATAACACGCTCATTTTTGAAGAAAAACTTGTTCTCCTACCAACTGAGTCGTATATCATATATTATAAGTCTAAATAATTGAGTATGTATTATTGGACGGAAGGTCCTAGGATAACGTTATTTTTTTATTCACCTAAATTGGATTATAAACATTATAAATTTATAAGTGTTATAGATCACTACATATTTTTATACAAAAAATTTTTCAACATATTATTCCTCAACAAACTAAATAATCCACATACTTATAGCAACGAATTGAAAATAAATGCAGTAGCGGTTATAAGTGCTTTAACATCAATACATGATAACTAGTGTGTTCAATATGAATTACATGTATTTATATAGTAGGATGTTCAGAATTGAACTCGTTTATTTTTCAACATTAATTTAGGCGTTTTAACCAAATTAAACAATAAATTAATAAATAAAATTAAAATTTCTAAAGCTCAGTAGAAAAATCATACCTTTTAGAACTGATTTCAGCAACGGACCACGCCGAAGCGAGGGGGGTCGGGAGGTTCGACGGGCGGGGGTCGGGCGGGGGGGGGGCGAGCGGGCCGAAGGAGGGGGGGTGGGCGGGAGGAGCGGGGTGGGGGAGCCGAGGACGGGGGGTTCGGAGGAGGTATGGGAGGCTTGGGGGAAGGGGGCGAAGGGGCGGGTTACGGTCGGGAGGAGGGGCCGAGTAGGGTTCGGGAAGGAGGGGGGCGGCGAGGTGGAGGGGGCAGGCGGACGGGCGGGGTCGGGATGCGGGGGTCGGGATGGGTGTGCTCGGGGAAGAGGGGGCTCGGAGGGGGGGCTCGGGCGGGGCGGCGGGGGGCCGGAGGAGGGTGGGTCGGGATAGGGGGGAGGGTCGGACGTGGCGAGGGCGGGGGGTAGGCGCAAGGGAGGGGCCCGGGGGCGGGGAGGCGAGGGGGGCGTCGGCCGAGGGGGTCGGGTTGGGGCAGGCCGGCAGGGGAGGGGGCTGCGGGGGGCGGGGCGGAGGCGGAGGAGGGGGGGAGTCGGGGCGGGAGACGAACAAGGGGGGGGGTGTCGGGTGGATCATGAGATTGAGAGGAAATGGGAGGGCGTGGCCCGGCTGGTAGGCGTTAAAAACTGCCCTAGAAACCTAGACGGAAATTCGCTCTAGTAGCCTCACCTAGACGGAATTTTCCGTCTAGGTTGACTATAACACCTAGACGACTACCGTCTAGGTTGTATAGTCAACCTAGACGGAAATTCCGTCTAGGTTGAGGCTACCTAGACGGAATTTCCGTCTAGGTTGACTGTTCCGTCTGGGTTTGTCAAACTAGACGGAAAATTCCGTCTAGTTTGCTCCAAACTAGACGGAACAATCTAGACGGAATTTTTCCGTCTACTTTGCTCCAATCTAGACGGAAAAAATTTCCGTCTAGATTGTTCCGTCTAGTTTGGTCGTTTTTCTACTAGTGAAATTGCAATTTGAAATCCACTTTCAATTGATCAAACATCCACCTTCCTGACTGTCAGTGTCCCAGAGTGCGGGTTGCTCCACAATTCAACTTTGCTGGATTTGTAACAGACTTTGGTCCATTCAGCATCACCACTCATCTAGGAAAAAATTGAAAAAAAAAGAAAGAAAAGAACTCAAAGCTATGAATTCATAAGTTGAATGGATTTTCAGATATCAGGGCTAAATACTAATAATAACTCATAACTATTTTAATTGTGACCAAATTTTCCAATGATGCTTGCTAGCATATTACTGAGAATGGAAATAGGTTGGTGCTTGCAGACGCGGTAGAAAATGGAACGTAGCATGAACAATGGAGCTATAGAAATGATGAAGAAAAAAGGGTTAATTTCACAAGCCCCCGAACTTTGGGGGATGTTCCACATAACCTGTCTAAACTTTGTTTTATCTTACATAACCTAAAGCTCATCTTACATAGCACATCTAAACTATGGGGTGTCTCACAAAACCCTCTTGAATTTTAGCTTATCTCACTTGATCACCCTGTCTGTAATTTGTAAATAACTAAACTATCTCTGAATGAATTTTTTTTAAACTTTATCACTTGTCATTTATAGGCAACATAGACCTTTCCATAAATTTTAATTTTTTTTCTCTCAGGAAAATTTAAGTTATTCGCAATTCACACGCAGGAAGTGAAGGGTGACAAGCTAAAATCCAAGGAAATTTTGTGAGATACATTATAGTTTAAGGGGCATGTATGATAAACAAAGTTTGGGGATTATTACGACATCCCCCAAAGTTCATGAGGGGTTTTGTGAAATTAACCCAATAGAATATACTTTCGGAGCGCCAACGGCCACCTGAAGATAAAGAGATTTTTCTTTTCTTTTCCTCTTAGGGGCTGTTTGGTTCGTTTCCTAGATATAGGGAAATGCATTTCCATGTACAAAAACACAAATTTTGAGTTTTCCCTGTTTGGTTCGTTTCCTAGATATAGGGAAATGCATTTCCATGTACAAAAACACAAATTTTGAGTTTTCCAAACTTTTCCAAGAAATAGATTGTTTCGAAATGCATTTCCATGTACAAAAACACAAATTTTGAGTTTTCCAAACTTTTCCAAGAAATAGATTGTTTCACTTTGGTTCGCACAAAAAAATGGTGGGAAACCAAAATATTTATTTTTCATGTGTTTGGTTCGCATGGAAAAAAAGGAAAAACTTTTTGAAATATGATATTTCCTACTTTTCTTGTGTTTGGTTGGTTTTGAAGTTTGTAGTGAAAAGTGTTTATGATCACCATGGTTTTGAAGTTTGTAGTGAAAAGTGTTTATGATCACCATGGTAAGATTACCCCCACTATATACAAATTTATTTGTGCTCGTTATATGATGTAATCTTAATCCCACTATATACAAATTTATTTGTGCTCGTTATATGATGTAATCTTAATCATATAAAAGTTCGAATGTAACGTGAAGAGGAAAATAATATCCTAAATGAATTATAAATTTATGTTTGTATTACTCATCCTTCTCACAAAACAATATTTTTTACAAAACACCATTTCTGTTTGAATACTCATCCTTCTCACAAAACAATATCTTTTACAAGTTCTGCTACACCTTCTCGAGCTTTGAGTGAGACAACTTTTATTGAGTTACCACTATTATATCTTAGATCCAGTGGGGATACGGGCTGTACAACTGCGAGATCAGGCGGTAGCCTAAAAGCTTCAACAACGAATTCCTGGAGAAAACAATCAGAAATTATAAGCTGAAAATTTTCATCTTCAAAGAGAGAAACTAGGCAATACTGAAGTTGAAAGAAGGATTTCGCAGTGTAATATATGTACCTTAAATCTATTGCTCTCAACAGTTCATTCCTGACTGAATTGATTACACATATGAAAAACCAAAAACTAGTGCAAGAAAGGTGATCTTATAACTAGTTAATTAAGAAAGAAAATACTTACTTTGTAGCATCTGATGATGATGTATCGACTTTTACCTGCATATGAGTTTAGAAGCAATCTATTAATAAACCATGCATCACAATTTAAAAAAAAAAAAAGAATTCTCAAAGCAACATGGATAGAAGAAAGATATTAGGAAGTCACATTCTGATTTCGACGAGCCTCCTTCGAGCAGCTATTATCTATCAAATAAACCATGCTTGAAAATAATTCTTGACATCATGACAAATAAATCAGCCACATGTATATGCGAATTATGGCTGTGGGCTCAGAACTTGTTCAATATCATCATTGTTAGCCTCCAGTGCAATATCAATAGATACTGCAGGTTGCTAATCTCAGATAAATTGAAAAGCATCATAGCCTAATTTGAACACCTGTAAACAATATCATCCAAATCAAATCCAGCCGAAACAAGCACAACCAGGCTCACAACCAGAAATCCCCAAAACAAGCACAAAAGCATCATTTACCCAACAATGAACAGGATGCACCAACCATCCAACGAAAAAAGAACCAGGATGCACCAAGCAGCCACGAAAAAGGAACCAGGCAACAACACCAAAAGCCAACAACAACATCAATAACAAACAGGCTCACAACATCAAGAATGCAGCCAAAAACACCAACAGACAATAACAACCCAGTCAACAACACCAACAGGCATCAACACCACCAACAACACCAACAGGCATCAACATCAGTTCATGAAAATTGGGTATGAACTGAGTTAGAAAATTAGGTATGAACTGAGTTTGGATACTAGAACTTATGGACACAAGCACAAGATACACTATAACCCTGTGCACATTCTATATTTGGTTCATGTAGTCGGTTATGTACTAAATATCTCCAGTTCATAGAGATTTAGCATTATGACAAGCACTTCAATTTTTTAGTGTTGGAAACAGGTGCAGTTTCATGCATTACTGGAATTAAAAACCTGGGCCTCTCATCGAAAACCCTCTTCTTCTCCCACTGTATCAAAAAACAGTTCCCCTTCCCACCAAGCATCATTGAAAAAAAAACTCAATCTTTATTCAGAGTGATCCTTAACCTAAACCTGTTCTCCATAGTAAAACCACCTTGCCAAATTGCAAAATCTGGTATCAACAACATTATTTAACTGGTTCACCCATTCTTAGCATAACGATAACTTGCGGCCAGTAATGCCTGAAAGTAAAATTTTATGGGGTGAAAATTATACTTGAACAGTTTCTAAGATATTTGGAATTCAAAAATTAGCATTTTGGTTAAGTCAAAACCTACACATGTCTTCTCCAAAAATGTTGGTAAATTCATTTGAGTATGACTAGGAAATGATTCAATCCTTTAGCACAAAGTTCAGTGTTGGGTATAATCAGAACTTCTGAACACTGATAAGCACTCATGCTGTCATGGGCATTTAACAATTATGACAGACAATTATATCCAAGTCAGAAAGGTAAATCAACACAAAAGAAATAAAAAATAAATGGATGAATGGAATGTTAAGCGTACCGTGATATCATCATAGTACAGGAGCTTCATCACACTCCTAAATCCAACACAAAATCAGAATTAGTTTAGACTAAAAATTGATTCCTGATATCCATAAAAAATTTCATAAATTAGTTTAGACTAAAAATAACTGAAATAGAGAGTAAGCCATGATATTTACATTTGATACTGTAATTATTAAATAACAATCTAATCAACCTTCATTACTTAGAATACACTTCTTTTCTGCCCTCAAAAATGTGTAAAGGCAAATTATACACTTTTTTGAAGCATCAAATGGAATAATTCTTATATGTATATCAAAGAAAACAATTAGAATACCAGTTGGAGGATATCATACCCAACTCAAACTGGCATCAAGACCCTTGTCCCAGCCATGACACGCATGCACAAGGCAAGGCATATTGTAACAACGAGCATAGACTCGTGTCAAATTAATCTTTAATATTTTCATACAGTTTAATCATTATGTAACTGATCCAGTGAGAATTTTAAATATCTAATACCCAGGGCCATAAGACTAAAAAAGTTGACGCTTGGTTTATTTGAATTCTGCTGCATTACTACTTCTTCCTTTGTTTGTCCTCACAACTTTCTTCATGGTGTACAGAAAAGTCGGTCAAGCTATGGTGATGTGTTCCGATCATTCCAAAGTTGAAGGAATGCTTCAGGTGATGTGTTCCGATCATTCCAAAGTTGAAGGAATGCTTCAATATTTCTAAGTGTGTCTATTTCGTCATCATTCTTTAATTTAATTGCTAGTGACAATATTTCTAAGTGTGTCTATTTCGTCATCATTCTTTAATTTAATTGCTAGTGATTGAAAGAATCAGCACACCAATATCACTTGCAACAAGTTAAAAAACACTTTACACACTTGTTTTGGATGTGAATCCATTGTCCATTTCACTCTAACAATCTAATGCAGAGTTGCAAGCAGGTGGAGTTATAATATCAAAATCATTTCTATGTCAAACAAAATAAAAACAGAACACGTAAACATGCAGTTGTAAGAACCTATAGCCTACAAGGAGTAACACGTCCCAAATTGCTAGAAACTTAAATAGCTAATCACACAGTGCAGGGTTAGAAAATGAATACACCTTCAAAAATCTATTTAGGTTCGGTTACTCCGCAAAAGAAGCAATATAACTAATCCACGTAACACAATGAACGCATTACTAGCTGCGATATAATTAAAAACTACTAAGAACATTGAGTAAAACCATAGAACTTAAAGCATCACAGATAAATTATAAATATATCATTTTCTTTGCAGACCCTTGGAAAAAAAGGCAACATTCGACAAAATTAAGCACTCAAACCATTATAAATAAATGAAAATGACAAGCTTCAATGTTCAGAAAACAAGCCAATCGCAATGCCAACAAAATTTAATTAGAAATTGCACAAAATTAACTCTTACAATATCTACACACCTCAAAGGACTAAAACGCTATATAGTCCCCCATCCAAATATCTCTATCCTTCCATCTACACCTGCAAAAATCATATAATCACAACTATAACCAATTTAAGAGGTCGAGGCCTTGTTGTTGTTGTTGTTGGTGTCTTTGGGATCCATTGGAGTTAGAGAGAGAGAGAGAAAGGTGAGAGCTTTGAGAGCCCAAAAACAACAAAAATCCCCCAAATTTCTGAGAAAAAAACCCCATCGAAACCTAGAAAAGCAAAAGCGAACAGATTGAACCTCAAACTTCGAAAGCACCACCACCCCTACGATCTTGCTCCGCTCCGGCGTCCCCATCTCATCGGAACTCCGGAGATGAATCTGATGGAGGAGAGAGAAAGGCGATGGAGTTAATTTCAGCGTCGAAGCCGACGAGAGAAATCAACGAGAGATTTCTGGCGGGAGGAGAGCATGGAGGTAACCACAGCGTCCCAAAGAAATCAAGGAGAGAAAGGAGAGAGCGATTGTCAGAGCTGGCTAGTTTTTTCATCGATTTCTCTTGGTTGGGGAAGGAAATCGGGGAGAGAAAAAAGTCTGAGGTGGCGAAGTTTTCACCCCGTTTCTCTCCCTTCAACCTCAGCGAACCAAAGCATGGAAAAGAAATGAGCGGAAACAAAAAATCTGAGGTGGCGGTGGTGTCAGGCGCAGAAATGCGTTTCCCCAGGCTATTTAAGCGAACCAAACAGCCCCTTAAATAACCACGTCCGGGATTGGATGTCAGAGCCATACCAGAACCATGGACACAAAGGGCGTAGCACCACCTTAATATAAGACAATCCCAGTGGTTCGTTTCCCACAAACGGTTAAACAATTTAACTGGTCCGAAGATAGATTTTGCTGGTACATGAATTTTCATCTGATAACTAGGTGGTCATTTTTTAGGTCAATGAATAAAATTTTTATTCATCACCAAAATGTGCAGTTATGTCATACATCATCATCCAGATCAACAAACCTGGAAACCCTCCTCACATATTCATCTTTTATTACAATATCTCAAATTTTGTGAGATACCTTATAGTTTAAGGGGCATGTGTGATAAACAAAGTTTGGGGATTATTACGACATCCCCCAAAGTTCATGAGGGGTTTTGTGAAATTAACCCAACAGAATATGCTTTCGGAGCGCCAACGGCCACATGAAGATAAAGAGATTTTTCTTTTGAAATTAACCCAACAGAATATGCTTTCGGAGCGCCAACGGCCACATGAAGATAAAGAGATTTTTCTTTTTTTTTTCTCTTAAATAACACGTACGGGATTGGATGTCAGAGCCATACCAGAACCATGGACACAAAGGGCGTAGCACCACCTTAATATAAGACAATCCCAGTGATTCGTTTCCCACAAACGGTTAAACAATTTAACTAGTCCGAAGATAGATTTTGTTGGTACATGAATTTTCATCTGATAACTAGGTGGTCATTTTTTAGGTCAATGAATAAAATTTTTATTTATCACTAAAATGTGCAGTTATGTCATACATCATCATCTAGATCAAAAAACCTGGAAACTCTCCTCACATATTCATCTCTTATTACAATATCTCAAGTTTTTCTTTCAAATGTAAAGAAAGATTATCATTCAAGATCTTTGAGTAGATGGACATCTTCACTTCCCGAAAGAGGAAATCTAGATCTGTAGCTTTGTTTTGGAAAATTCTCACATTCCTTTCCCTCCATATCATGTACACAGTAACGGAAAGGATCATTCTCTTAAGTTTCTTTAAAAACCCTTGCCTTTGGGGTTGCAGCAGTACCAACTGAATACATGACCCCAATTGCATGACCTCCTAGCATATCCAGAGAAATGAGCTTATTTGATTAAAGAGAGTCCTCGTAAACAGACAAAGATGCAAAGATAAGAAATTCTCTACCTATACTAACCCTTTTAGTTGGGTTTATCACAGAGGTTCAGCTCGTTGTAGTTACGCTTATGACAAGCATATGTTGCGTTTTACCCTTTGATCTACTTTCCAGACTAATTTAGATTGTACATATACTTAACACGAGCAGCAATTCATTGCCTGCCTACTGCATTCTAGTAAAGATTCAACATACTAGGGCTTTATTCCAGAGATGAGCTGAGAACTAACAGTCAAAAAACAAATGTCGACAGGATTCACTTTGAGTTTGGCAAAGGACATATTTATTGTTGTTAAGAATCCTCAATCGGCATAATCTATCCTGAGTTAAAATCCTTGAATGAGAGACTAACCACAAAACAAATGAGTGTTTAGGATAATTAAATCCCTCCTATATAGTTTCAAACCAAGGAACTAGAGGAGCTGGATCAATAAGTAACCTGTAGATACGGGAGATTTGGATTTTACCATTGGCATGGCATTTGTTAATGATGCTGGAAAGATTAACCACATCACCAAACTTGTTTCTCACCATATCCCTAACTCTTAAGAGTTGTTTCCACATCTAAGAATCGGTTGCCTTAACTTGAACTAGGTGGTCATTCTGCAGCTTTGCAAGAAAAATGGATGTATAATCCACTGACACCAAAAATGTTTCACTTGTTACAAAGGTAAGCTTCCGGAGATAAGCTTTCCTTGTTTGCTTGTGCGTCAATACAGTACGATTTTCTCTCAGCTTCTCAGATCTATCATCCTCCAACTTCTTGAGAATCTCCCCCGGGGTTATATCCAATTCATCAGCAATCTTTCTCTGCAAATCGCAAATCCACAAATAATGTAGGGAATTGCTCACAGAGATCACCATCAATCACATCCTGCAGGCAAATACAACATGCATTGTGAGAAACAGTAGTTCCACCCATGTAAAGATCATGTTAGTGCTGGTTTATTGGTGAAATGTGTTGTTGCACAGTGTGGGTGCATGGCAGATTTGACATCTTTGGGTTCACCTTAGACTGCAGCCTCGTGTGAAACCAGGGGCGTCATAGGCAACCTCCGCGCACAGTGTCTCCTCGTATCTATACTTGTGGAAGACCCTTTAACATTGACTTCTCTATCATGATCTTGAGCATGTGATAACTCGCATGGCGAAGCTGTGCATGTCACAAATCAACCGTCTCATTCTTCCGAGCTTTATCTATGTATGTCGATTTTGTTGACATTACATAGATAGATTCGACTCTTTGTCCCACCATGACATGTTCTCCTAGTGGCTTCAAGTTCCAATAGACTTTTGCATCTTGTGGCCTAAATGCTATATAGTTTCCCGTAGCCGTTAATTGGGAAACAGATAGAAGTTCTTCATACCCTATACATGATATATATCTCGTAGTTGTATCTGATTCAAGCTGTAGCGCGGTGTAAACACGGTCTTTCCAATACGTATGATAGAAATCTTGAATTTATTTTCCTCCACAACTTCTCGGGCACCTCTAGACTCCTTCAAGTTGACAAGCTTCTCTTTGTCTCCCGTCATGTAGTTGCAACAGCCAGAATTAATGATCCAATCTTCATTGTAGCTAAGTCCTTCCGATCTGAAACCCCTGCAAATCAACAATCTCCTCTTCATCGAGTGATGCATCTTCGACGATGGCCATTAGTGGCCCCCTTAAAGTTTTCTAAAAATCCCAATTAATCCCCTTCTCTCTCTCTCTCTCTAATTTAATCCTTCCCTCTCTCACCTCATTTACTCTCTTCTTTCATTCTTTAGAACCCACTCTTCTCAACTCCCTTAATGAATATGATTTGATTGCTCAATTTTGGTGTATATTCATCATTTTTTTAGTATTTTAAGGTATAATTTTTATCCTTTACTTAACTTCTAGGGAAAAATGTGTTCATCCCCCAAAAGCAGTAACTTCATGTGACCAACCCCCTTGTATTTTCCCCCATGTGGATAAGTCCCAAAAAGTAATGTTAAATGTGTCAAGGCCCCAACACGTTAGCAGTATACAAAATAGAGATTGTATTTTTAAAAAAAACCCAAATTGCCCTTCTCCTTCTTCCCGAGACATAGCCCAAAAGCATAGAAAGTCACGTCATCCTTCTCTCTCTCTCCCTCTCTCTCTCCTCTCTCTCCCTCTCTCTAAAATAAAAGGGGCCCTCGCCCTCCTCGCCGTCATCACCTTTGCCCAGGCCCCCGGCGCCGCCCCCCAAGTCCCTCCGGGCCCACGACTGATAAAATGTTAGCTCTGGTATGTGGTGAAAACAAAACCAGAAAAAGGCAACAACGGATGTGCTGGAGGTAGAGCTAACGCCGGAGCTCCGCTAGCCTCTTCTCTTCGTTCTTTCCTGCTCTGCCGCCGTCGAAACCCTTCCCCTGTCTCCGCTTGTCCTCTTCCACGACGATTTCCGCTAAGAAACGTAAGGATGCTGGCGTCAGTAGATTGGAGCTTGATATCTACGATTTCATGGAGAAATCTGAGAACCCGAGTGCGTTTTTGACGAGGGAGGAGCTGATTTCAGGCGGGAGGCTGGGTTTGGCCGAGGAGATTCTAAAAGAAGGGGACTAGCTCTCGTACGGATGGACGAAACCATGAGAAGAGAAAGAAGCTGTCGAGATCTCTGAGCAGTGGTCGAATGATGGTTTCTTGGATGAGGATTCTTCGTCTTCCTCTTCTGGTGATCTGATATGAGTGAGTTCTTGAAAATTTTGTGTTTTTGAGTGGTGATCTGATATGAGTGAGTTCTTGAAAATTTTGTGTTTTTGAGATTTCTGGTTTTCTTGTTTCTTGAGCTCTTCTTTTGGTTGTTATTGTAATGAAAATTTTGTGTTTTTGAGATTTCTGGTTTTCTTGTTTCTTGAGCTCTTCTTTTGGTTGTTATTGTAATGTGGGGAATGTGAGGTTGAAGTACAAGGTGCAGGACGTGGAGGGTATGATTGGGGAGTTGTTTGGACGAAGTGGGAGAAGATGAGGGAGAGGTGATCCATTTTGTTCTATGTTATTAGCCATTGTATTTACTAGTGTTTAGGGGTTGAACCCCTTCAAGAATCTGTATAATGCTTGGTTAATTGCACATAAACCTCATGTGTTATAGGGGGCCTTGTCATTTGTTGTCCCTGAGCCATGCATTTCCTAGAGAACAAGCTGTTTGAACTAGTTCATGTTAGTTCTAAATCAATTCTTACGTATTTTGTATTTTGTATAAGATTACTTCTCCACAAAATATAATGAAAGCGAATGTTGTGTTCTTACGTGGCATAAGATGGTCCGCCATAATAAAGATACCTACTAAATGCTTGTTTTAAATTCTCTACATGACCAGCTTTTAGTCATAGAGATGGTATATAAAATAGAACCAACTTAGTATAAAATAGAACTAACGTGGTGTAATTTAGAACTAACGTGGTGTAATTTAGAACTAACGTGATATAAAATAGAACTAGCGTGGTATAAATTAGAACTAACATGGTTAAAATTAGAACTAACTTGATATAAAATAGAACTAACGTGACATAAAATAAAACTAACGTGGTATAAATTAGAACTAACGTGGTTAAAATTAGAACTAACTTGGTATAAATTAGAACAAACTTAGTTAAAATTTTAGAACTAACTTGTTATAAAATAGAACTAACTTGGTATAAATGAGATATAACATGGTATAACTTAGGTTTATAACGTGGTTTAAATTAGAACTAACATAAATTAGATATAACGTGGTATAAATTAGATATAACGTGTAATGAAATAGAACT